AGCCAGTCAATAAGCATTTATAAGCACTTACTATGTGTCAAGCATTGTGCTGTGCTAGGGATACAAAGAAAGATAAAAAATAGTCCTTTGTCTCACGGAGCTCACATTTTAATGGGATATATACATTTGTCTAGCTAGGTATGCAGGTCACAGGCTTTCCCTCAAGAAAATCTACCCCAGGCTTGGGCATAAACAGGGTTACACATACATAATAGATAATGAGTAGACAGAAGGCAATCTCAGATAGGAAGGCACTAGTAGCTTAGAGATTCAGGAAAAGCTTCTTGCAGGAGATTCAGTTTGAGCCGAGTCTTGAAGAAAGCCACAAAATCTAAGAGGGAGAGGTGAGAAGAAAAGCATTGCAGGCATGGGGACTTACTAAAGGCCTAACCATTTTTTTTGACAAAAAACTCATGCCCCCCATCTTTCTTCATTTTCTATCTCCTTGGCTTTGATTCCATGGATCAACATGCCTGGGTGCTGGGCACCTCCTGGTGACCCCCCCCCTTTTCAGCTTCCTTTAATGTGTTGTCTTCCCCTATCAGATTATAAGCCCCTTGAGGGCAGGGACTGTCTCTTTTTCTTATTTGTATTCCCAGTGCTTAATACAGTGCCTGGCACATAGTAGGCACTTAATACATCTTTATTGAATTGAATTGAGTATCCTGATGGCCCTCATTTATCAAGTCATCTATAAGTGGAAATGGCTTCAAGTGTAGGCCAGAATAGCCTATAGCCCTGGAAGGGCTGTAAAACAGACTGTCTAGCAATCTCTTCCTACTGGGCCTTATGACTCCATGGGACCCATATTTCTGGAGTTCTCTTTCCATGAAGACTAGGGTAAGGGGAGCCTTTGGCAGGCACCTAAAAGTGGATAGACCAAATTACTGTTAGGTTTCTAACAGTTGGGCTTCAGGGTCCTCGATGTGGCCACTTTTGAAAAGCAGTTGCTCCTCTGTTACTGGGACCTAATTGCTATTATAGCACTCATATGCTTAAGGCTTTCTCCCTTAGCCCCAACTCCACTGGCAAGCTGCGTCCCTAGAACTCAGCTACTACTCCTCTCTAGGATTCTAGCAGTAACCTTGCGGGGTTGTGTCTAATAATATGGCTATTGAGCTCCCATCTATGGTATTTTCCCTTCCCCTATATCATTGACAGTTACGCTCTCCCCAACATCATCTAACCAGAGGTTACTGCCCCAATATCCTTCTGACCAGTGATCTTTTCAATATTATTGATAGCTAGTTCACATCACTTAGCTTTTGCAAAAGGATAATTCCTGTGGCTTCAGGAAGCTGTAGCATATGCAGTGGCCACACCCTAATAAAACCATATTGGCCGACTGTCTGAACCAGGTTGAAGGTAACTGACAGGCCTCAAACCATCAGTGATTTAGGAGGATATCTATCCCAAGTATGGGAAGGCTTCTCCTAGCAGAATGGGTGGATGAGAACAAGTTGTTCCAAAGACAAAGAAAGTAGCTGAAGCAGATGTTATGGGAGAACTTAAATCAGATATTGAAGACTTCAAGGTCACCCGCTGCATCCTGGGCCATCACCAGTCATTCTGACTTTTGTCTTACCACTGGACTTCAATGACTTTGGAAGTGAGAGTAAGGCTAATGACTTTCTATAACTCTGCCTCACTTAAATACAATTCACAATGAGAGGGCATCACTCTGTGATTTCGTCTCCTTTAAAAAATGAAGGACTAACATTGGAGCCCTGGATTTGATTCCAGCACATCATACATTTTTCTTTCTCTCCCTGTTCACATCCACTTCTTTCATGTACCCTCCCATGATGTAATGTAATTGATTCCCCTGCAGGCATGATGTTACCAAGTTCATTTTGTAATGCCCCCTGTCTGCCTCTTTACTGTTACTGCTTTGAGATTTCTGCCTTTACTCTATCTCCTTGCACAGATTTAAAAAGAAGTCTCTTGGTCTTTCTGCTATCACTCTGTTACTGTTGCTATCCTTGCTTGCTGCATTTAGTATGCCTGTTGTTTGGAGTATTCAAGAAGCAAATAATCTCTATGTGTCTTGGAGTTTCTAGTCTTGTTTTTGTTTTCTCCCCCCGAGCCAACCTGTGAATTCTTTTAGTTAGAATTTCATCTTCTACGTTCAGATGTTCTAGACAGTTCTCTTCGATTATTTCCTTCATTATGGTGTTAAGATTTTTAAGTCTTGTCATGTTCTTCAGGGAGACCTAAGGTTGTCCTTATGCATCTTGTCTTCAAGATCGGTTTGTTTTGCTTAGATAATGAGCATGTTTTTTTTTAATGTATTTGGTTTTTGCTTCTGTCCTTCTAAATTGTCCTTCACTTCTGTGTATTTGCATCTCCAATCTATTGTTCTCTTTTTTTGTTTCTTTGGAGACGCTTGTGCCTCTGAGTGGTTTCCTTGGGGAATGGATATCCAACTATCTCAGCCTCTTTCCACGCTGGGCAATTCGTGATTCACCAGCCTAGACCTCTGTCTCAGCTGATTTTTGGGTGGTCAGACCTGGGCCCAGCTGGATGCTGTGCTCTTTCATTCAGGCTTGGTGGAATGCTACACAGCCAACACTCTCATGACCTCTCACTTGGACCATTGCAATGGTGTCCTACCTTGTCTCCCTTGCTTCCTCCAATCAATCCTCCACACAACTGCCAAAGGGATTTCCCCTAAGTGCAGCTCTGACCAAATCACTTTTTTATATTCAATAAACTAAAAATGGCTCCCTATTACCTTTAGGATCAAACATAAAATCCGCTGGCTTTTGATGGTCTACATAACGAGGCACCAACCTTTTCAATCTTATTATGTATGACTCTTCTTTCTACACTCTATGGTCCAACCAAAATGGAACTCGTTCTGTTTCTCACCTGTGGCATTTCATTTCTCATCTTTGTACTGCCTCATACCTGGAATATCCTCCCTCCTTACCACTATCTCAATACCTTCCTCCCAGACCTATAGAGCACAAGCACTGCCTCCTACAAGAGGCCTTTCCTGATGCCCCTCCTGATAGTGTTCTCCTTCATTATGGACTTGTACTGAACAATCTACCATTTATTTTGTACGTACTCATGTTATACTTTGTATATGTTTATGTTATTCTTTGTAGATATTTCTGTATGTATCTCTTAGGTTCCCTGATAGAATGTAAGCTTCCTGAGAACACAGATTGTTTCATTTTTTTTTTGTCTTTATATCCCCAGAATCTAACGGAGTGTCTGGCACATACCAGATATTTAATAAATGCTTATCGATTGATCAACTTGAACAATACCAAGGGAGTACATCAGGGAAAACTCCTATAGTAAATTCAATGTATTTACATCATACTTTGGAAACCCACACTCAAAATGATAGTGACTAATGAATTTGAGACGCTAATTTAGTTCCTTTTACTTTTCAATGCAATAGATCTACAAGGACAGAAGAGCTCGTTTCCATTTCTTCCCTTTGAGGAGCCAGATTAGAAAGCAAAGAGAAAACTATATTTGCTGAAAGCTTAAAAGCTTCCAACTAACTCTTTCCATTTATCACTCCTTTACCTGTGTTGCTGGAGAGGAGAAATCACCTTCCTCTGGAAGATCATCAGACCAAGAGGGAAAGGAATTCTGCCCAGCTAAACAAACAGAATGAAAACAGACCCTTTTGATAGCATCCATCAGCTCTATTGCATAAAGAAAATAGCCAAATGAAAGAGAAAATAGACTTTGAAAACTGTTCTTGTTTGGAGAGGGAGGAAGGGGTAGCTGTTTGGGCACTTTCTGCAGCAAAAGACTGATTGAAGAAAGGTTTCGAAACTACTGTGTGATTTTTCCTCTGCCTCACCAGTACAAAGCCTTTTGCTGTGATTAGATCAAAGAAAGTTTTATGTTTTAGCTGCCTATGATGGAGCAAATTTTTTGCTATGAAACACCTTAGAGACTTCTTTTTTAGAGATTCTATCTGTGCCACAGGGCTTGCTCCCTCACTTACCATGTATGGGCCTAGCAATTGCCTGCTGCACATGGTCAGACTGGTACCACAGAAAAATTATTTTGACAGATGTATAGAGAATGGGATGGGGGAAGGGGAGGTTGGGAGGTTGGGAAGAGAAAACTCAATTAAAAGGCTCAGTATTAAAGAGAAGTGAGAAGTGATGAGAGCCTGAACTAGGGTGGCTGGTGGCCATATGAACTGAGAGTATGGATGTGATTTGAAATAGAATAGACAAAGCTTGATCGAAAATAGCTGGTAAAGGACAAGAAAGAGTCAAGGATAACTCCAAAGTTATAAACCTATATTACTAGAGAATGATTGTTACCTTGAAAAAAATAGGGAAACTTGTAGGAGAAGTAACTCTAGGTGAGGAAGATGAATATCGTTTTGGACACATTGGGTTTGAAATGCCACTAGAGATGTCCAGTAGGCAGCTGGGAATGCAGGACTGGAGTTCAGGAGACAGAGCTGGATATACAGACTTGGGAGCCATCTGTATAAGATTGATAACTGAACCCAGGAAAGTCAAGGGCAGACCTGTTTGAGGCTTCAGGAGTGGAGTCCTAGGATATAGTTCTTAAAGGACCCTAGAAATCATCTAGTTAGAAAACTACAGAACATGAATGTTGGGAGAGAATAAGCCTTCTTTCCCCCACTCTTCCCTCATCAGGCTGTGCCTGAGGATTTCCAAATCCTATGACAGTATTCCTAAGCAGGGCTACTACTTAATCCAGTCACACTGACCCCCTCCCCGCCTCTCACTCTGAGGTCCTAACCTATAGGCAAAGTCATACTCAACATTCCTTTGACATAGCCCTTCACTCACTACTTAAGACCAGTTCCAAACCAGCTGCCCTAGAGTGCAGAGTTGGCATTCATCAGCTTGTCTAGGGTAGTAGAAATCTTTGCTCCTCCTTTTGACCAGTGAGAAGTGAGAGAGGGCAGCAAGGGAGGGTAGTGTGTGAGACATCCAGCACAGGAATTGCTGCAAACCACTTGGCTGAGTGGAAGGGATTGAAGCATGTACTTACTGGGGCTGCTGCTGGTAATGCTGCAGTTACCACCTCTGTCTATCCAAAATTCAAACCCCTCAGAGACCAATGTTGCCATGGGGAAAGTGATCCTTTCTGCCCTGGAGAAAGCCACCTCCTATTTGGAGAAGAGATACAGGGAATTTAATCTGGATTCATTGGTGGGATTTTTGATGCTAAAAGGTAGGGTGATTTTTTCTTTTACACAGGTTGTCTAGCAACTGAAATTGTTTTCACACCTTTCTATTAATAGTAAACCTTGAGGACAGAAGATGATCTGGAATTGGAATGTTTAAATTTTGGAACTTAGGAAGGGGACATGACTTTTGATCATTTGGTGACCTTGGCCTTGCTTCTTTTGGCTTTTCAAAAATACAAGGAATTTTCAGAAATAACAAAGAAATAAAAATTGAAATTTTTAGAGAATACTGCAGTCCAACTGAGCAGAGAGGGGTAAGAGGTCTCTGTGGCTCATTTTCTTTCAGAATTGTATCAACAGGCCTAACAAGATGGGATTAAAAAAAACTATTCATATGGAGAACCCAGAATAGGGGCTCCAAGAGGAAAGGGAAAGTTCTCTCAGCAGACTCTGCAGGCTACTTGGTTGGTCAAGGTCTTTAAGGTGGGAACATGGTAGGAGTTTCTTGGCCATATTCAATAACTTTTTCTGTGGGGAATGAAGAACACCAGCAACCTTGGAAACTATCTAATTCGATTTTCTTTGATCATCTGCAGATACATAGCAATGATTTTTTTTGGCAGCCTCTGGGGGAAAAAATGGAGTTGAGCCCTCCTATTATGGTCATTTCATCCTTCAGCTGTCTAGAGATCCTATTCCTCAGATTTACAAAATCAGTCATAAGCTTCCCATATATGACTTCATTCATTTTTCTAGTAGTGTTCTGAGGAAATAAGAGCACTTATCTTTCTGAAAATTTTTGGAATGGAGAAAGGAACTTGCGATAGGTCATAGAAGAGAAAATTAAGGGCTGAGCATCCCTTGCTTCCAGCCCCCTTGTCCCTCTTGCCTTCTGACCAATCAGGGGGCTGAACTGTCAAGTGGAGTGGGGATTGGTACCTTCTGCCTGGTGGAGAGGACTAGAATAATAACGGTGAATTTTAGGGAAAGCAACTTTTGACGAATAATAAGTAGGAATGAGATTCAGAGACATTTCTCTGGATAGGGAGAACCAAAGCAAACCCATGGAGCAAGATTTGATTCACAGGCCTCCTCTGTTTCTTCACAGAACAGCTAACTGGAGTCTGGAAAAATGGGCCCATGACTCTGCCCTGAAACCCTTGACCTTGAGTGTTGAGGAAATACTAAAAAGTTGTCACTAATCATCCCCAGAGCCAAAGTTTTCCTCAAAATTGTTGACTTCAAATACTTAAAAGGTAAGATGGGTGAAGGCAGAATTTCTTCAGTAACATAGGATTTGAAAATATTTTATCATTCTAGAGGTTATTTCCTAGACAAACTGGTCTAGCCTCCATGCTTAAATGATCATGACAAACCTATGGAATTGAGTGGACAAATAGCCATGCAGCCTCTTGACACATTACCAGGAGCATAATACTTGCCCGAGAGGCAGTAGTAGAAATATTCTCCCATCACAATTGCTTCAGATACTAAAATATCCCTCTGGCAGCTCCAGGTCTCTATCTGTATAAATGGGCTCATGTTGGAAGCCAAGCATTGAATATCATCATACTTAATGTCATCCTGAGTAGACATTATAACTGCGACTAATGTAAGGAACCTGCACTTTCTAACTGAACCAGGAGTGCCTGCTTTGTGGTTTTTTTTTTTATTAAACATCCCTCAGTAATGATATTCTCTGGGACTTAATGTGCCCATTAAGAACCTCTTCCTATTGATGAGAATTACATTTCCTGATTGATTTCAGCCCCATATTTTGAAGGGCTAGTGTTGTCCATAAGTCTCAAGCTATTTGCCTTCAGTGTAATACATGATGGTGCCATGGAAAAAGCATGGGCTCTGGGGGTAGAGGCCTTAAGTTTAAATCCTGACTGTAACACTTACTGCTTGTGTGATCTAGGAGAAGTCAGTTAATCTCCCTAGGCCTCAGTTTCCACATCTGTAAAATTGTGGAGGTTGGACTAGCTATTCTCTGAGGTCACTGATAGTTCCAGAGTTATGATCTTTGGTCCTTGTAGCATCTACGATCTTACAAGAAGCCTGGGTACAGGACAGGTATGTCTAGAACATCAGTGGGCCAATTCCCACACCAATAGGTGTTGGACTGTGTGGTTACTGAAGTCCCTTCTGACTCTCAAATTCTATGATTCTGTGAGAAGCCATTGTCAGTCAGGCAAGAAGCATTTATTAAGTGCTTACTGTGGGCTGGTCACTGGGCACAGGGCCTTTGTATTGGGGATACAAAAAAAGACAAAATATGTGGTTTCATAATTCAAGGAGCTAACTTTCTAATGGAGGAGGCAATGTACAAAAATAACAATAATTATATAAGCTAACATTTATGTAGCACCTACTGTATGCCATGTACTGTGCTAAGCACTTTAAAATATTATTTCATTTGATCCACACACCATCCTTGGCAGGGAAGTGCTATTACTATCCCCATTTACAGAGGAGAAAATTGAGGCAAACCAAGAGGTTAAGTGGCTTGCCCAGGAGGGATTTGGACTTAAGTCTTCTAGACTCCATGTCCAACACTCAATCCACTGTTTCACCTAGCTGCCCCAAATAATTATGTACATACAAGATGTATAAATGGAAGGTAATCTTAGAGGGAAAGGAATGAGGGAAAGGCAGGAAAAGGGAGGAGACAGACCGGGAAAGGTTTGTCAAAGGTTATACAAAACTACCTCCTCTTACTGTCACTGATCAAATCTTGCTCTTTCAACTCTGACAGAATTCCAAGAGACTCTACAGCCAGAGTTTTGGAAGCTTCCTCATTCATGGAGTCACACAAACTCCTCCATGATCTACTCTAAGTTTAACAACTCAAATCCTTTTCCAGCAAAATCAAGTGATTCGTGCATGACACTGTTACTAGGAACCATGTGAGTTTTGTTCTCCTTTCTTCCCTGGATAGAAAAATATTAATAGTCACCCTTTCCATACAAACTCTTCTCACAATACCTGCTTCCACTTCTATGTGCTATTCAAGCCTATGTCTAATTTCTATAATGGTAACAAAGGCTTGTGCCAGCATGGCTAGGCCTATAGCTCTCCTGAACTTCATTCATTGCTTTCCCCACATAACACCCTGGAACTGCTTGCTCCTCAGAGAGAAGAGTGGACAGACCTGCAGAGTCACTGACTACTGCGTGGAACTCGTGACTGCACCTGGCAGAAGTGGTGAAGAGCTGGTAAAACAACTCTCCTACTTCCTAATAGCCAAAATGGTAAGTTCCAGTAGGTCACTTCAGAGTACCAGAAAGCTGGCCAGCAGCACCACACACTGGACAAGTGTTTTAATGGGGATAAGAAAAACCCCAGAGAATGACAAATATAATTTTCCCTTTAGTATGTAATTCATTGTCTGTATTTTTTCCTAATCTATAAGGCATCTTCTCTTCCTAAGCACCAGCAGATTCCAGCTGAAAGCATTAACTTGTTTTTTTTTATTTTTTATTTATTTTATTTTTTATTTGTATCTTTCCAAGTGAGGAAAGATTTCCCTACTACTGTTTGGACTAGTGGTAAAAAAAAAACAAAACAAGTCTCCTTGCCCTCCTGTTCGTCTGAAGCTCTGTCAGACATTTTTGATCCAAAATTGGAGGTGGGGAGAGTTGTCAATACCTGAGAGCTCAGTGAAGTGCTTTAAAATACTTTTAAAAGTTCAAGCACTCCTTTGGCATAGGAAGAACTAGCTGTTTGCTTTGGATAAGAATGGAAATAAGTAGATGAGTGGATGGCATCTGCATTTTTGAACTAATGGTCTCTCAGACCCCGCTGTAACTGTTTTTCCAAAAGATTAAAAGAGTTATTTTTAGACAACACTACAGTTAGAGGGTCCCAATGAAACAACCGGGGAGACTTCTTGCAGAAGGAATCCAGACAATAGGTTTCACCTTAAATATACTGACAGTTTAAAAATCTATTTCAAAACTGTAACTTTTGCATATAAAAACTGCCACTCATTGCTACTAGCAATGCTCCTTTCATTGCTCTCTGGTTGTCTGTTCCCTAGAAAGAATGCTCAAGCGATCTGTTCCTCCAATCAAAATACTACATGGACATCTTTTGTGCTAACATGATGGAATGGAACTTGAAAATAGAAAAAAATGGATTCTCGTTCCAAAATAAAAATATCTTCATGACACATAGTATGAATTGCCTTCCATTCTACAGATAAGTGCAAATTATCTTCCTTGCCTTTAAAGAAAGACACACACACACACACACACACACACATATTTTGTCTTTGTCACAACCGTGCTCCCCTTAACTACTGAAAGAATGAGAGAAAATTTAACTGATAAGCATCAAAAGCCCTTGGTGTGAGGGATAAAGTAAACCCAAATGTCAGAGGTTCTTTAGCTTGGAATCCCAAATCCCATCAGGACTTTTCATCACACAAACAATCTATGACTTTCATCCAACATTGACTGAAAGCTCTTAATGGGGGAGGTGATGTTAAAATGAAAGTTGAACTAGGCTGTGCCTCTTGTTGCTATAGCAAAGATGTAGTCTTCCCTACCAGCCATGAGTTCCAGTGGCTCAATAGATTCAGTATTGCTCAGATTAGTACTGAGCCCTGAGACACAGAAGGCATGTAAATGGGAACAGAGACAGCTTTATGGGAAGGACTGTCAAAGGCACTCAGCCTGTTGGGAAGATGACTGATTCCATCTTCTTCTCCTCAGTCATGCTCTGTGGATTTTCTGGGTACTCAGATTTCTACAAGATCCCTTGGATTAAGACTATTCTCAAATGGCATAATTCTGAGGAAGGATGCTATTGGAAGATTTGTAAATAAAGTTGACTGCCTTGGTGGTAGGGAAGTTGAGGGGTTAGAGAAGATAAAATGCAATCTGTCATATTCCATCAGATAAGGTTGTAATATCGGGCTCTTGGACTCCTTAGTAATATCAAATGCCATTTCCTCAAACATTTGATGAGGTGAGATTAAGGATATATGTGAGTGTGTTGTGTTAGGGAGGTAGAGCTATTAAGAGTAAGGGAAGCTAGCTTGTGGTTTAGTAAGGGCTACAGGGATTTGCATTTAAACACACACAATAAACAGAAGGTCTGGAGATAAGGGCTAAGCTCACAGAATGGGATGTGGCAACCTCAAGGTCCAATATATAGAGAATACACAATGACTTTTTTGGAAGTCAGATATACGAATTATCTACTATGGCCTCAAGATATAAATTAGACAGTTTGTAGGACCTAGTGTTAGTTATACTTCCTTCTACCAGACTGGTCTCCTCTTTGATTGTTTTGTTTTTGAAAACCAAGCAGAGTAAATGGCTTCCGGTAAATCCAATAAATGACAGTGAAGAAGGAGTCAGGCACTCTGAATTTCAAAGGAAAATAGTAAAGTTGTTTCTGTCACACTCACATCTTGACATCAGAGGTAGTCTTAGTGGAAAGTGAAATACACAGCTCCTTGGACACACAGAGAAGAGGCCTGAGAGGCAGCACAGATAGCTATTACACCCTATATAAGGCAGTCCCAGCTAATTTTTCATAGTAACATCAATGACAAATTATAACCAAAACCCACTGATAAGTCACAAACCCCTGCTCAAATAGTGCTGAGAAAATCACCCATTTATAACATGGTTCCTATGGAACACTCCTCTTTAATGCCATTTCTTTTAGTGCCATCTTTATGGAGAATGAATTAAAGGTATTAGGTGGATGTTGTACTATACTCACTACTGAAAGCAAGAAGTAGGAGGTTCAGCATTAAATTCTAGTCTCTAGAACTCTTGGGACAAAAGAGCAATGAATTTAAGAAGAACAAGTGATCACTGTGGGTGAGCAACTTTGAGACAAAGATTTATCTGGAGAATTATGATGATGATTACTCATTAAAAACTCTTACTGACTGCCAGTAATACTATAAGGCTTTCACAAACATTAAATCAGACACCTGCCTCTATGCTTCATAGAGGTGTTCATAATCTCTATCCAAGGGACAGATAAGACAAGACATTATGACAAGACAAGTACTTTCAGGGAAGCAAGGAACTGAGCTCAAGGCTTTGCAATGGAGTTTCTAAGTTGAAATCATTCAAATAGAAGTTGTGAAAGGAGTTGACAATATGGAAGAATTTTAAGGAAGAGGGAAAACTGTGGGAGAAGCAAAATAATTCTAGAACACAAGGAAGAAGACATCCCTCACATTTATATAGCACTATAAGGTTGTAGGCAGAAAAGGAAGCACATTTTAGAAGTGGAAAAATATAAGAAGTTTCCCACAATGGGAAACGACAATAGATGATGAGAAAAGAATTTGTACACATTCATGATATTCCCTTCTATTTCTTCTCTCCCTAGTTGTCATTGGAAACCGGCCATTAATGAGAGGCAATCACCTTGAAGGTAAAATTCTTGAAAACAAGTAATATATATTTCAAGTGCATGAAGGAAGACACCTAATTAAATTCTGTATATATCCTCTCCTCATACACATATACATCACATTTCACTATGAAAAAGACAGTATACCTTCTCAGACATATATGTATATGTATACATATATATGTATATATATTACATTTCTCTTCTGGAAATGTGCATTTAGACCACATTCTTTAGGAAAAAAGTAGAGGGGAAACCATTTTCATTAGTGGTAGGCAATTCAGAAGACTAAAGGATGAAAGACTTGGAATGAAAGAGTGGCAAAGATAAGAACAATTGTGATATCATAGGCCTAAACTAAATACTTGCTGCAATTTCCTATTTCTCTAACAATTTGATGTAGTGTTTTTTTTTCTTTTCTTAGCCATTCATTTTCAGGTTTTAGCTTCAAGCAGAGGGCAAGGTAGAGCCCTGTTTGGTTGTCTTACCCAGCATTTCTCTAAGAAAGATTCTTGCTTTTGGTGGTCACAGCAGCTAAAAAAAAGTGAACCAAATCTAGACCTTTTCAAGACCTTAGTGCTTATTGGCCATCTAGCCCATCCCTATATCAAAAAATCCCTGCTTTAACATACCTGACAAGTGGGCATCTAGCCTGTGCTTAAAGACTTCCAAGGAGGGGTGATCCACCAGCTTGTGAGGAAACCCTTTCTACTCTTCAGATTGTGAGGAAGTTTTTCTTTATGTCAAGCCTATTTAAAATTTAAAATTTTCTTCTTTGGAACTTCCATCCACTGCTCCTGGTTCTGCCCTCTGGGGCCAAGTAGAACTAATCTTTTCCCTCCTGCACGTCACAGTCCTTCAAACAGATATGACAGATATCACATCCTCCATCCCAATTCTTTTCTCCAGACTAGGCATGCTCAGTTCTTTAGGCCTATCCTCATGTGTCATGGAGTTAGACCCTTCACCATCCTGGCTGGGCTTCTCTGGATACTCTTCAGCTAATCAATGTCAGCTAATCAATGTCCTTTTTAAACTCTGTTGCCCAGAGCTGAATACATTACTCTAAATGAGATCTGTAAAGGGCAGATTCCAGTGGGATTCTCTGCTCCATATTCCAGAAGCTCTACCCCTCCTAATGCTGCCCAAGATTGCATTAGCTTGGGACAGCTAGGTGGCCCAGTGGATAGAGCACAGGCCCTGGAGTCAGGAAGACCTGAGTTTAAATGTGACCTTAGGCACATAACACTCACCAGCTGTGTGACTCTGGGCAAGTCCCTTAACCCTAATCACCTCACAAAGGATTGCCTTAGCTTTTTGGGCTGCCACATCTTGCTTCTGACTCATATTGAACTTGTGGTCCACTAAAACACCCAGATCTGTTATCTAACCATACTGTTCCCAAATTACATTTGTTGAGGTTGATTTTTTTTTGTACCCAAGTGTGACTTTAGGTTTATCCTTACTGAATTTTATCTTATTAGATTTAGCTCAATGCTCTAGCTTGTTAAGAACCTTTTGGATCCCAACTCTACCACCCATCTCACTTTGGTTTCATCTGTAAATATGATGAAACATAGTTTCTATTTCTTTATTGACATCATTAATAAAAACATTAAGCAGCATAGGCTTACAACCAAGTACTTCAGATCCCTGGAGTACAGCACTAGAAACCTTCTGCTATGGAGGCATTGAACCAAGGGTGTGCTGGTAAACGTATAATGATCAGGCTCTCCAGAAAAAAAAATGGATTCACATATTTTTAAGTTTAATCTGCATAATGAACACTTTCTTAAGTCTAGATGATCAACAAAACAATACATAAAGTCCTGACTTACACTGTTTACATATTTGTGAGTTGTAAATTCTCACAATGTAAATTTAAAAACCAGCACTTGCAAGCTGGATAGAACATATACAGTACACTCTTTCATGAAACTATTTGAAAATGCTCTTTGAGTCTGCCATCCAACAAGTTTTGAATCCATCTGATTATATTATTGTCTAATCCATATTACTCCATTCTCTATAAAAATAGTATGAAATATTTAATGAAGAACTTTGCTGAACTCCAGGTAAAATATGCCCTGAGCTACTAATTTAATAATCCTTTCAAAAAAGTAAATGAGGATAGTCTGGTGTCACTTGTGACTTGTTCTTGATGAAGATGAACTACTTTTTTTGTAATCACCTTTCTAGAGGTTTGCTAACCAACTCTTTAATGATCCATTCTAGACAATTCCCAGGAATCAAAGTCAAATTCAGTGGGTTAGAGTTTGTAAGTTCTATTTTTCCCTTTTTTTCAAATAGGGAAAATACTTGTTCTTTTTTCCAATTATGTGGTGTATCTCCCATTTTCCGTGATCTTTCAAATGTTTCTAACATGATGGTGTTCCTCTGTGATTTCAGAATTTTATTTTTTAGCATCTCTCATTTCTCCTGGGTTAACTTCTCCAGCAGTATTTTGCTTCATGGGACCCTACCTATCCTTTCTCTGAGCCCTTTGAAATCTGCTTTTCTAAAACCTAGAATGTCAGACTATACCTAGATTTCCTCTCCTCTATTAAAACTATAGGATAGAGTGGTGAATTTCCTCTAATATTCCCATTCTTTCCACCACAGCAACCACTCCTCTCCATTAGTGAAAATAAGATCCAGAATAGAATTTCTTCTTGTTGGCTTTTCTGTCTTTTGAAGGATGAAATGATCAATCAGGCAAGTTAAGAGGTTATTAGCTGGCCTTCTTTTCATAGCATGAGAGCTCCAGCATATGTCTGGATGGTTGAAGTCTCTCATCACTCTATTATAACTCTGTGCCAGGTTTGTGATCTATTCCCCAAACTCCTTACTCATTTCCTCTTTATGTCCAGATAGACCATAGTGTATTCAAATAATAAAAATTCCTTCTGTTTTTCCATTCTTGAGTTCCATCCAAATACTCTCTATCATACTTTCTCCCTCTGGGTCCTGAATTTCTTCACATGAATATATATCCTTAACATACAATACTCCTCCTCCTTTATTTCTGTTTCTTTTTAAAAAAGGGTGTACACATTCATAGCCATGGTCTTGTAAAAGATTTTATCCCACCAAGTCTCACGAATATCTATGGAGGTCACATTTACCCTCCTGCATTAGGACCTTAATTTCTTGTTTCTTTTAAATACATAAGTTCATTTAGTATTGTGGATACAGAAGAAAAGATGTAAGATTGGGATGGAGGAGTAAGGCAATCTTCATTCTGTCCATTTCTGCGTGAATCTGGACTCCCACTCCTTCTTGGTTTATGTAAAATGAGAGAATAGCCTTGGCTCCATCATATCCTAGGGAAAATGTTCAAATGAATAAAGACATGTGATACAGTGGAAGATAAAAAAAAACCTCTTCTAAATAAAATAAGGCACATGAGGTTAAATGTCCATACCTGAAGCTGAATAAATGAGT